GGCATTTATCTTCTTGGCCTCTGCTTCTCTAGTGTATCTCTTTAGCCTGGTAGCCAGTGCTGTGAACCTTTGTTTAGCAGTGTCTAGGGTTTCAAATGGAGTCACGCCCTTGTAGTTTTTTCAGTAGCTGAGTCTTATCCTTAATCTCCACACCTTTCTATAGCTCCACCAGCTGACTAACTTCTCTCTGAGTTGCCCTGATCTTAGCCTTCAACGTCATTTTATGGGGTGGGATGGGGTGGGGTATGAACTGTGCTGTTCTTCTTTATCATGTAGTGAAGCATCTCCAGGATTACAGCAGCTGTAGCATATACCAGTTCACTGGTTTGAGTTATGGTGGTAGTACCGATTGTTATGAGGGCTGTATTGGCATCTTCTAGCATACTATCTGATAGTATTTCTCCACTGAGCCTTGGTAATTGGTCTCAAAGGTTGACTGTAGCTAGTTTATCCATGATCTTATGCCTCATATCAGCTGCTGTGCTCTGCAATGGAGGGGGTGGCAGTGATATCCAGCTTCAGGTGTTGGCTACACATCCAGTTGTTCTTCTGGGTCTTCTTGAGTCCAGGATGTAATATGTAGTTGGTCTATCTCAAATTGTGAGAGCAGCTTCCTCTCTACTATATTGACGCTTTGGGTAACTAGCTGTTTCTCAATTAGTGTGGGTGTAAATCTTTTGTCCATCCATAGTTCCCTCATACCTTTCATATATCCCCTCTCATTAGGTCTACTATTATAGTAGCATTCCATCAATTCCAGGTTCTCTTGTCTTGTCCATGTATGGTTTGTTCCAGTAGGCCACTTATTGTCAGATTGTCCTGGTTCCCCAACATCTTGCATGGACCTTGTTAATCTAGGGGACATCTGAGCCAGCGTGACTCCCTTAGCTTGTGTCACTCTCATAACCAAGATAGGTAAATGAAGCATTAGGGGATGTTTGCCCAAGGACCCCTACTGGTAAGGTAGGTACCAGCCAGGATTCAAACCCTGGTTGTAGTTAGAGTGCCACTAGATAGCATAGTAGAGTGCCCTGTCGAAGGGTGGCACTCTAACTACTACTCTATCCAGCTACTATATACTGTATATACTGTTGTGTTGAAAGGCTGTGTGGCACATCCAATATGATCTCCAAAAAGTGGTTCAGAACACATGGGAATTCAAATGCACCACCTCTCTTCAATGTCTTAAAGCAGATACATCTTTTCCCAGGATCACTTGGAGGCAGCAGGAAAAGATGTTGCTACTTTACGGTATTGCAGATTGGTGCTACATTCTGTGCCCAACACTTTCCTCAGAGACTGAAGTCAAAATGCTACCCAGCAATACTGTATGGTTTCTCAGGTGTATGTTCCTCCTGGGAGATTATAACACCTTTTCACAGCCTTTGCAGGAAGACAATTTTCCTCCTTTGACTTTATTATCACCTCTTGCCTGACTCTTTCATGCCTACCAAATCATCACTGCTAAAGAAGCAACAATGGGTTGTCCTCAGTTCAGAAAGAACTCTGTAATAGGCTTATATGTGCAATTAAAACCAGTGGGAGAATTCAACTCTACATTACATTAAGGAGGGAAAAAAAGGTGATATAAGCAATATGTGTTGAGAAGCTTAGCGTGATATGGGCTTATTCCCACTGGTGGTCAATATCCTGTAATAGCTCAATTATCTTAACATGGCTCCTATTTTTCAATCTGCTCCTTATATACTGCATTGCATTTATGACCTGCTGGGTCTCATAATGCTTGTTATGGCTCTAAAGAGTAACCTTTCAACAGAAGTTTTTTTTCTGTACTTCCTTCCTTCCTTCCTTCCTTCCTTCCTTCCTTCCTTCCTTCCTTCCTTCCTTCCTTCCCTTTCTGTCTTTTTTTTTTTTGACATAGTTTTTCTCTCTTTCTCTTTGTCACTTATAGTATCTTTTTAAACAGACCTTGACTTTGTAAAGCTGCCTATGGAAAACATCAAATCTATTATACCCTGAATCTCAAACATGCAACAGGACGCCTGCCACTTAAATAGTCCCCAAAGCCTGTGGATTGAAAATTGTTCAGTTAAGTATATACTTAAAATAATATTCTCATCCATAAGAGGCAAATGATAGGACAGCTTTTGTTCACAGTAGAAGCTGATCGCAATATGCTTAATGCATTTCAGCTTCCAAGATGCTGCCTGTTTTCCTTCCCCACATCTGTACACTCTGGAGGAAAGGCTCCATTTCTAAACAAATTGGATTGCTATGCTTTTAATATAATGATGCAAGTCCAACTCAAACAGGAAAATAAAATGAATATGATTGTTGAAAGGAATGCAAGAAAAGTTTGACCAATGTTGAGGCAAGAAGGTATAATGGAGAACTGCACCAGCAAGTATTCCAAAGTCAACAGACAATTTATATAAGCACATCTAGTATAACTAAATTGACTTATTCTTTATTGTTCAATGCCTGAGCAACTGATAGAGAGAAGTCAACTGAAAAAATAGGCAATCTGGGACAAACTTTGACCTAATTGAAGAACTTCCTATGTTACTTTGGAAGCAAATTAATGGCATATCCATGCTGCCAGGTTGCCCAGTCATGAGTACAGGATCATGATTACAGATCACCAGTGACTCCTGTAGGGCAGGAAAGGACACTGATGTCTTCCTCTTACCTCCAGCCCATGCAAATGCAATTCCCATCCATGTTTTCTTGTCCCAATGTGAAAGTAGCACTTTCCTCTACTGCTGCTGCCTGGTGTGCCTACTGTGCTTTGCTTTGTTCTAGGCAAACCTTTGTAGTTTTATTGGCTATCATGCAAAGGCAGGAATCCCAGTTTTTCCTCAATAAGATCTACTGCAGCTTCTATTACAGATCTTTCTGCTATAACACTTGCTAGATATGCAGAATGTCCCCAATTCAGTTTGAAACCTGGCAGAAATATGTTGTTGTGCGTGTGAATTTTTAATTAGTATTTTTCCTTCTCTGAGCTACCTACTTCTTCACTTGCCTTCCATCACTGATGCACTGGTGAATTTACTAAACAAAGAAATGTCCAGCAAAAAAGTAGGTAGATAAAAAAATAATTAAAAAACAGCAATACATTTCTGCCACATTTCACACTGGGGAAACTTCAAGTGTTATAAGCACTAAACCACTAAGACCTATAACAGAAGCAGCAACAAACCTTCTTGTAGAAAAACTGAGAAAATACAACAAAGGAATTTTTGTTATAAAGCTGGGTATTTGGCCTGGATATATGTGCAACTGAAGCTTCAACTTTATATAAAATTAATTTCACTATGCATATTTATATATTTATATTTGCTTGTATATATGTAAATCTCAACTGCACAATCCTCAATACCAAAATGATAATCATTAGTGTTGCATTGTTTTTGTAATAGCTATTTATTAAATAAATAAATGTTCCACATGTGATACTTTTTTCAATATGCATTAACATTAAGAATGAAGGAGCATGACAAGCCATGTATAGATGCCATAAAAATGATTGTTCCTTCCAGAATGAATATACTAACCTCTCTCCTTTGAAGAAGTAGGTTTTCCCAACATCCTCCCACCAAATTGCTGAATCAATACCATGAGGAGGAATACCACTTCCTAATGATATCAAATCATGAGGATACCCTGGCTGGAGAGTGGTATCCTTGAAGACCCAAAACTTGTTACCTGTGCAAGAAACAGAACAAAAAAACATATTAGTCTCTTTAACCCCACTTCCCACTTTGAAGGGTTCTGCAGGGCTATTCTCTCTCTCTCTCTCTCTCTCTCTCTCTCTCTCTCTCTCTCTCTCTCTCTCTCTCTCTCTCTC